GGGTTTAGGGTTTAGGGTCTCGTTAGGTATTAACTTTCATTCTTTTAATAGCTTGACCCTAAGGAATTATTAAGCACATTTCTACTATAGGGACTCCAGCACAAATCCTAAGCCCTAGACCCTTAAAACCCTATATATGGACAGGTTTCATTTCATCGTCCATGTTCTTTTCCATTTGATTCTCCATTGTTAGGGCAATATTCCTGAACCCTACAACCTGAAAAGTAGTTTCTGTTCTCCTTTCCATTATCCATATATAGCACTTTTCTGGCAGTTTCCCTAAACAAGGGGACCCCAATGTAGACCCCAAAATATTATCGTCCTTATTATGGGGACCCCAGAAAGGTACCCCTAATTTCCGGACCTCATCTAATCCCTAGACCCTAAACCCTAAACCCTGAGCCCTAAACCCTAAACCCTAAACCCTGAACCCTGAACCCTAAACCCAAAATCCTAAACCTTAAACCCTAAACCGTACTCCAGGGCCGCACTTTCATCATCACAAACGCGATGAGCGGCTGGGTTGAATACAGCGCGGCGAAGTGGGCACCTCCCTCAGCCCTGTCACAGGGATATCAGCTAGAGTCTAAAAGCTCCTCAAAGAGGGTTTAGGGTTTATATAAAGTTAATGGAAAAGAAAATGGAAGCTACGATTTAGGGTCATATTATATAGGGTTTAGGGTTTAGGGTCTGAACTCCTTAAAGGGGGATTCTGGAGGTGACTGTTAGAAGGGATGTTAAGGGGGGATCCTAGGAGTTTAGACTATGGGTCATATGTACTATAGTCTAAACTCCTTAAAGGGGAATTATATAGTGGATTATATGGGGAACTACCATAGGGCTTATTAAGGGGGATCCTAGGAGTTTAGACTATGGGTCATATATACATACGAGCATACTTTATTACATTCATAGTATTCAGTATACGGAAAACATGCAACGGCTTCCAATACGCGGGGAATTCCTACGCTGTTCCAGGTGCAGGGTTTTAGGTTTTGGAGTTCAAGTGTCTGGTGCTGTGCCTACCTGTGTGAAGTCACGTGGGGGCCCTGATGGGCCCGTCTGCTCTTCGTGCTTTTGCATGAGTCGTTTGTTCTTATTCTCGCGCAAGTGTGCCTTGCCTCTCTACTTCAAAAGCAAGTGTAAACCCTGAAACCTAAACCTGAACCCCAATCCCTCCACCTCTGACCCTCAGCAATGAGCCCATGACGTATGTATACATCTACATATAATATAATACAGCAGAGTATAATATCACACAATATACTATAATACCAAATGATAAGATAAGATAATATAAGAAACTAGAATATAATATAATATCAATGTGAATACAAATATATGTGTGTATGTATATATATACAGAGATGCATGCCAATACACCTGCAAACCAATATCCAGTTGTTTGTCCAAATTAATGTTCATGTGATTCTCCATTCCCCTAACCCTTATCTTTATCCCTAACCCCGAATTCCTTGATGCAGAAACCTGAAGAACTAATATTCTCTTATGTTTAGGGTTTAGGGTTCCCTATTTTATATAGGATTCCAACATCATTTGCTCCCCACCAGTCTCTTCCAATGCCTGAAGGCCCGCTAGATTACAGTCCCTCTGCTCACCTCAGCCAGTTTCCATGTCATTTCCACTTGATCCTTCATCTTTCCCTAATGCCAGACCTTGAGCAAGCAGTCCCTTCCATTGCAGTGAACATTGTTGGATTTAAGGGTTCAGTGTCTAGGGGTTTAGGGTTTTAGGGCTTTAAGGTGTAGGGGCCCTAAACCCTGAACCCTAGACCTTAAAACCCTAAGCCCTAATAAACTACTCATGTCGGCTCCAGAGAAATCTGACGGCCTGAGGCGCCTGGGATGCTGGATGCACTGCAGAAACTGGATCAATGTTAGGGATCCTTTTTACTTTTTGGGGTATGGGATTCCTTATATTTAGGAAAAAAGGATCCTTTTTTCTCCCTAACCCTAAACCCTAAACCCTAAACCCTAGGGTAATGTGGACCAAGGAAAGTTCCAGTGATTTCCGCGCGTGCGCAGTCAAGTCTTTGAGTGCATTGCTTTTGAAGTTTTGGGGGGGGTTTAGGGTTTAGGGGGTTTTGGGGGTTTAGGGGTTTAGGGTTGAGGGGTTAGGGGGTCTGGGGAAGCTTCCGCGACACGTCTTTGCAGAACGGACTTCTGTGCAGGCTGGGGCAAGGCTGGCCAACTGAGACTA